AAATAAAATCTAGAACATTATTTAAAGAATAACATCAAAAGAAAAAGTAGAGTTCGTTCCAGGAAGACAAGATTGGTTTAATTTTAGGTAATTAATCAAAATTTACTATATTAACAATGTGAAAAGGAAACTAGTTAATCCATCATTACATGTTACAAGTATTGATTAGCAATATTAGCCATTATTGATTTTTTAAATTTAAGTAAATTATGAATAAAGGGGCACTTACTAAGCATAAATTTATGAGAAACCAGCTAATTCTAAAAATTACATTCAACAGAAAAATGTTCAAGTACATCTGCAAGGTAAGGATCAACGCTGTGATTCTTCAATGTTTTAAAAATCTAGTCTGCAGCTGGGCACAGTGGTTCACACCCACTGTGAACCACTATGAACCCACTGTAGTCTGAGCACTTTGCAGGCTGAGGTGGGAGAATTTCTTTAGTACAGGAGTTTGAGACTAGCCTGCAACAACATAGTGACACTCTGTCTCTACAAAAAAAAGAAAGTTCTAATTAGCTAGGCGTGGTGGTTGTAGTCCTGGTTACTCAGAAGGCTGAGGTGGGGTTGCTTGAGCCCAGAAGTTCCATGGTGCAGTGAGCTTTGATTGCTCCACTGTGTTCCACCCTGGGCAATAGAGAGATACTGTGTTTCAGGGGAAAAAGAAATACAGTCCACTTAATAAAAGAAAGTCATACTCGAATAATACAAAACATAATTATTTACAGTCAGTATGGCTAAATACAAAAAAGACTCAATTTTAAACTTTTGGAACTAATGGGTAAACAACAAATTTCTGTGAAATGAGATGATGTGTTTAAGAATATGTTACATATAAACAACAATTATTCAAAAAATAAAAGTTTATGAAACTCCAGTCATACTCATAATTCAAAATATTGTAACATGTCCAGTAGTAAATATAACAAATAAGATACAGCATGCCTCTGGAAGAGATAACTCAATATTGTTAAATCTATCAAAATTTTCCTGATATATACGTATGTGGTATATATATGTGTGTTTACATATGTAAATGATAAGCAGTGTATTAATATACTGTACGGAAGAAGAATGGATAATATGTATTTAAAATCATCTGGAAAAGTAAGTGTTTGGTAATTAAAAAGTATTTCCTATTGAAAAAAAGAAAAAAACAAGAAGAAAAAAAGAGTGAATTTCAGAAGTTTATCATCCCATCAGAAAGTGAAATTATTATAAATTACTTTTTGTTCAATAGCAATGTACCAGTGATAACACAAGGAAAAATAATCAGTGAAATAGAATTAAAAGTGCAGAAATAGAAACAAGAATATATATATATGAATCAAATACTTACTAAATTTAAGTTTTATGTTAAATGAAAAGTGATGTATCATTGCTACATGATATAAGACAATTGCTTATTTGGGGGGAAATTAATTTAGATATTGACTACTAAGTAGACACATACCAAAATACATTAAATTAAATACAAATACATTAAATTAAAATGAAGACACTACAAAAACAGTGGAGAATAGTCTTGAGGTATTACTTCCTACTCACATAATTCAAGAGCATGAAACCTTATGTAGAAAGAATAAACAGGATATTATGATAGATGGTCCACCGAGGAGATGGGACAATTCTAGAAGAAATCCATCTGCAAGGAGTGGGTGTTTCATCCTGATCTGAAAGATGAGAAGAAGCAAGTTCACCCAAAGAGAACCAGGAAGCACTTGGGCACAAGGAACTATGGAGAAGACCACGTGTCAAGAACTAGCAGAGGATATTCCAGGAGCAGAAAGGAGGCCGGTGTGTGACTGAATGCTAGTTCATTCTTGGAAAGTTATAGGAGATAAGCTGGAGGATCCTGGCAAGGGGCTGCTCCTCAGCAAAGGGCTTTGAGTGTCCTAAGGGATAACTTTTAGGTTTTTATTCTAGTGCTGTGATCTCTTATGAAAGGTTTTAAGTAGAAGAGTAATTTGGTATTACTTTAGATGAAAACAGTCACTGTAACTCTTATGGGGAATGTGAGGGACCCAAAGTGGAAAAAGCCAAGTCAGAGGCTATTGAGAGTTCAGTGAGAATTGAGGAGGGTTCTACCGAGGTAGCAGCATGGGAAGTGGAGAGAGGAGGATGGTTTCAAGCACATTTCAAATGTAGGGAATATAGTACTTGGTTATGAATCTGATACGGTGAGGTATGTAAACAAAGAACTAAGAATCTTCTCTTAAATTTTAATAAAATGTGATCTAGAGAGACCATTATTTTTAATCCCACCTCTTTGGATAGACCAGTTTTATGTTTGTTTTTTTAAGACACCTTTTTCAAAAATAGCACATTGATATACTTTTATTTTTTTTGCAGGAAAACATTAGATGCATGAAGCTACAGTAATTAAACCTTTCATTAAAGACGGTTAGGCATCCTGCTAATTTCTCACTGTTTTTGAGGGGAGCTCATCATATTCATGGTTGCAATAGCCTTAAAGTGCCTAATTCTTGTCTTGCCATTTCTGGTGTAAAGGCCTTTCTTGATTCTGTAAATCCAGATATGCTTACAATACAGCCCTTTCTGAGCCCTATGACTTTTTATACCAAGCATTAAATAAATGCCAATGTTTCAGTTTTGTGGGACCAAATGAGGGGGCCTAAAGTTACCTATACTGGCTACAGAATGAATATTTCCAGTATCCCATTACGTGATTTCTGTCTGGAACTAATAGTTGTGCAGTGAATCAAAGATTCTCACTGAGAAAGTGCAGTTTTCTAACCTCTTTTAGTTATATAAAATTCAATTTTACTCTGGCTTCATCTCAAAGCCTATAATACAAACAGAGGTAGGCTCAGGTTATTTGTGGTTTCCAGAGCTCTGAAATGCCTCATCTTCGGTCCTGGCATTTCTGGTATTCAGCATTTGGCATACCTCACTTGGAAGAGAGGCCGAACTATCTGGGATTTTCAGAGTTCACATTAGACCCATTCTATTTACACAAGCTTGTCCGTGTCCTCACAGGGCTCCTTAAGCTAACTTGTAACACTGAAGATCTAACAAAGTGAGCCTATGTGAGCTTCTTTCCCTGATTTGATTCAAGATCAAGAATTAGAATGACTATCACAGAAGTAGTGGTGGCTGTTATTGGTCAGGGAGCTTTGCTCCATTTTTTACGGTAATTCCTAATGATTAAATATGCTTTGTCACATAGTAAGCCTTAAGTTAATATAAAGTTTAGGCTATACAATGGTTCCTATAAATTAATTAGAAATGTAGGAAAATGTTTTTGTTGTTGTTATTGTTTTGTTTTTTGTTTCTTGGTAGAGACTGGGTCTACCAAGAAAGGTGTTGGCCAGGCTGAACTCAAACACCTGGCCTCAAGCGATTCTCTCACCTCAGCCTCCCAGAGTGCTGGGATTAAAGGTGTGAGTCACCATGCCATGCCAGAAAATTGTTAACATGTTGTAAATGTAGCAAATAAATAAATAAATAAATATCTGGTTGACCAACATTTCTCTTCTGTATTAAGTTTTATGCGTACTATGCTTCTAAGCATTTTTAAGAGATCTCAGGCAATTTAAGATATACCACAAGAAGGTGTATTTCTTATAATACATATTAAACCCATTTCATTTAAAGCCACATTCAATTGCTGAAGTAATGAAGTAGTAACAAATAAAGACAAATCTATACGAAGTTTTGTTCATTTGATTTAATAGAAGGTAAGGAACAAGTAAACAAGGGGAAAATTCACTCAAAGAACAACTTAACTTTGTTTCATTTTATTTTCTTTTAATTGACTGAGCTGATTGATTTAACTCTGGGCTTTATAGTTTATAGCCCTGTCAAGTATCAGAATCACAAATACATGCCACACACTTTCCCTTAAGTTTATTAGCCAGGATAATTGTAAATCTCTTCTGTTCACACATGTTGATATAACAATGAAATTAGCCCTTCGATTGCTACTTTCTTTGTGGCAGTTTGCATAGCATTACCAGTAAAGTGACTTGACTTGTGGAGCCATCTCTTTGGCAGTCAACTCAATGTAATTAGATTTTTCTCCTAGGAAAACTGTCAGTCTTTATTACTAAGTAATTAGTCCACAATGGAATATTAAATATTTTTTAAAATCATCCACATGATTTCTTATTTAGGATGTTAGTTAAAAACCTTAATATTTAGAAACAAAATTTATAAAAAGCACACAGTTCTAATTTAAATTCTGTTACCAGGTTTTAGTTTTTAGCCAAGAGTACATTTTGCATTTATTACCGAAGAAAATATGTTTTGTTCTTTTATTGCAATATATACCTCCTGTGAGAGTCATTTATAAAATCTAATAAACTCCTGTGTAGTGCTTGTAAATTAGCATAAAGTTGACATTACTCCAAAAGATTGATATGATTTTGCATAACTTAAGGAATATTGAGATCAATTCTTGAGCATTATTTTGTGTATACCTCGTTGAATGTTTTCTGTAGACATGTGGAATTCAGATTACTAGTCAATTTAAAATAATTCACCTTTCTAGAAGGTAGAAATATACATTGTCTATTTACCACGAAACATTTATTTAGCACACTACTTCAAAAGGAAAATCATCTTAATACTTTCTTTGTCTTTTAATGATTATTGAAATAATATTTGTGCTTTATCAATCATTGTATAAGAGGCTGATTTTTATTATTAGCCTAAGAGATTTATTAGCTTAAAATATACGGTAATATTTTTAACGCTGCCAGATTATCACAAATGAAAATTATATGGTATTTTCATAAAGCGTGATTAAATTAATTTAAGCATAAGAGGCCTCTAGGGAATACACACCACTGTGGTAAGTCACAGGAAATCTCGTGTTGATGCCCTTCGATTCGTTTCGACTTGTAGCTGGGGTTTTTCCAGGAATGTGGAAGTTTCCTTTAACTACGTTTAAAAACAGACAGACGGCACTTCTTACCCACAGTCAAAGAAAAAAATGAATTTTACCAGAAATAAGGAAATTATTTGGTCCAATTAAGTCACGTTAGTAAGTTTATTACTGGTGCCCACCACTTTCGGTCATACAGTGGCCCATTTCCTCTTTTCTCTTGCCTTTCTTCTCGATCAGAATCTTCAACTCAGAGCAAAAATGTAAAACCTCCACGCAGCCTTCTAAGGACAGAGACAGAGAAGCTGAAGTTATGCCCAACGAAAGAAGGCACAGTTAGAACAGGGAGACGCACAAGTCCAGAAACCAGTTCTATGTAGGCATGAGGGGCACAGGAGTTGTAAGGCTGCAATGAAAGGCAACAGTCCCACCAAGTGTGACTCAGACAAGCTTTGTTTGATTGCCAGCCAATGGTGTGTTTTTGGACAGACCTGAGGTCAAGGAACTTCTTGGAACCCAACCCAACCAACGTTGTAAGACTTTGACTGAAATGGCCTAATGAATTCTGGTCCTGATACTATGCATTAGGCACTTGCAATGGCTAGTATGTGGTCAGCAGCCAGCCCATTGCAGCAGCCCTCACAAATGCTTCAGTGGTTTGTACGGGGCTGAGCTTTCATGCTTGGTTAATGATATGCAAAGAGGGAGTGAACATTAGTATGACTTGGGAGACAGAAACTTATCCCAGAGTGTGTCTGTCAGTGCCAGTAACATTCAGACTTTCATTCATGATGGAGAGACAGTAAGATTTTTGCACAAGACAGGAGTGGGGCATCATTACTACCCACCTGTAACACCACTGGCAATTGGGTGTCTGCCTGCTGTGATCTTCTTCATCATAAATCCACGAGTAAAATGATGTCACAAAACCACCGAAATCACTTCAATGTATCAGAAACTATGCACAGTCCTGGCCTCCAGCTTCTATAAATCTACCACATATTATCTAATCCCAGAAATATAAACATAGGTATCAAGAGTCCTGGAAAACCCAACTGTAAAATATAAGTGATTTACAAGAAATGTAATTAGGGTTCTTAGAGTCTCAGAAATGTTTTTTTTTTTTGTTTGTTTGTTTGTTTGTTTTTTCATCGCTGCATTTCATGATCTCTGTCGCCTCTGATGTACTTAGAGAATAATTTTTTCTTTGATAAAGCTAAAAGTACATGGACTCATCCTCACCATGTCTGGGAGGCAGGACACATTGTATTTACAAAGGAGACGTCTGGAATTAGGTTGCAGTGTTGAAGTCCCTGCTCTCCTCGTAGCTAGCTGTTTAACTTTAGTAACTTTATTAATCAGCATCTCAATTAACTCAACATTTAAATGGATATCATATTGTGATGATGAAATGATCTAATATTCTCAAATCTTAGAAAAGCACCTGACATTTAGTAGGAACTAAACAAACAATAAGCAAACAGGTTTTAGACTGCCAATCTTACCCTCCTTCTGAGTTAAGAAAGAACGGCTGTGGCTTACATAGCTCTTGTCTGGGTGAGCAGAAGATGTCCTGTAGGATAAATGAGCATCTGACATCCTTACTTTCAATTACATGATGCTGGACAGATGTCTGCCACAGAACCTTAGGAACACTCTAGAAGTATCAGTTGTGTAAAATTCTTGTGTTACCCATGGTAGTCGAGTACTAAAGTCATCACAAGGCTTTTTCTTTAACTATTTCAGTCATTTGTGTGCATGCGTTTGGGATGCAGGGAGACACCATCCCCCACCAAAGGAACAAACAAAACACACACAGACACACACACACACGCACACACACATACACCAATTCCTGGAAACTAAGTGATTAGTTTAGAATTTTGCATGATCATTTTATGCTAGTTAATATATTCATCAATTAAACTAAACTTGAAGAGGCAGAGAAGTGATAAATAAGGTGTTTGAACCAAAGATGGAAGATAGATGATGTAGACTGATAACGGGAGATTCACTCTTGGTGTTATTTAGGGACGATGGAGGAAGAACAGCGGAAAACTGACAATGAAGAGCACAAAGAATGTCTTTGCTACTTCCAGACCCAATGGTAGAAAAGCGGTTTCAGAAAAGTGAAATTAAACAGCTTCTACAAAATATTAGATGGAGAAACTATGTCTTTAAGGAAAGCACACATTTTAATGAAAACAAGAAAACAAAGGAAATATTCAAATAAACAGGTTTATACAATGTATGGCCTTTTATGACTGGCTTCTTTCACTTAGCACAATGTTTCTATGGTTTGTGTACATTAGAGTGTGTCTCCATACTTTTGGTTATCTGCTCATTAGTTGATGGATTTTGGGCTGTTTCCCACTTGTTGGCTATTAGGAAAAATGGCACCATGAACATTTGTATAAAAGCTTTTGTGGAGCACATGTTTTCTTTTTGTTTTTCCCCCTTGGGTATGTACAGAAAAGTGAAAATTCTGGGTCATATGGTGACTCTATGTTTCTTGTTTTCAACAACTTTTCAACTATCTTCCAAAGTGACTGTACCATTTTATATTGCAACCAACAATGTGTAGAGGATTCAACTTTATAAAATCTTCACCAACATTTGTTATTGCCTATCTTTTAGGGTCTTGTAGGGTTTTCTTTTCTTTTTTTTTTTTTTTGTGAGATGGAGTCTCGCTCTGCCGCCCAGGCTGGAGTGCAGTGGCACGATCTGGGCTCACGGCAAGCTCCGCCTCCCGGGTTCCCGCCATTCTCCTGCCTCAACCTCCCGAGTAGCTGGGACTGCAGGCGCCGCCACCACGCCTGGGTAATTTTTTGTAATTTTAGTAGAGACGGGGTTTCACCGAGTTAGCCAGGATGGTCTTGATCTCCTCACCTCGTGATCCGCCCGCCTCCGCCTCCCATAATGCTGGGATTACAGACGTGAGCCACCGCGCCCGGCCTTATAGGGTTTTCAGATCTGCTGTGGTTTCAGTTAGAATTTGTTGCCACCTAATGTATAAGTAAGCTGTAGCTTAGATATGGATAGGAAAGATTATGGATGCTGACTTGCAGAAGAGTAGCGGTCATCTCGAGAATCTTTTTTTTTTTTTTTGAGACGGAGTCTCCCTCCGCTGCTCGGGCTGGAGTGAGTGACGCGATCTCGGCTCACTGCAAGCTCCGCCTCCCGGGTTCGCGCCATTCTCCTGCCTCAGCCTCCCGAGTAGCTGGGACTACAGGCGCCGCCATCACGCCCGGCTAATTTTTTTGTATTTTTTAGTAGAGACAGGGTTTCACCATGTTAGCCAGGATGGTCTCGATCTCCTGACCTCGTGATCCGCCCCTCTCGGCCTCCCAAAGTGCTGGGATTACAGGCGCGAGCCACCGAGCCCCGCCGAGAGTCTTGAGTTCAGATGACCACCATTTGCCTGACGGAAGGGTTGGGCTGGGAGAACAAAGAGGACCTGGCAAGGCTGCCCCTTCCCTTTCTGAGAAGCAGCTGCTTATGATTGCCCAGGACACCTAACTCTTCTTCGTACTCTCTCTCTTCACCCTTCAACTCAAGGTAGAGATATTAGCCAAGTCCAGCTTGAGAACTGTGGCGAGGCAGAGGACAGGAGCCAAGAGCTAATCACGTATGATCTAAATTGATGTTCTTTTTACTCATGTGTTTTTGTTTTCCTTCCCTAGAATGTGACCTCTAAGTGAAACGATTTTGTGTATTTGGTTTATTGCTTTACTCTTATTCCTAGAACAAAGAACTTGAGATCCTATCGTAAGCACTCAATAAAATACTTACTGAGTGAATGAATGGTTGATATATTCTAAAACAACAATTTCAGAAGAAAGGCAACATATGGGCAAATTTCTAAGGATTAGGAAGTGATATCTGAGGATTTTAATTCTAAGCTGAAAAATTCACTTTTACACATGCAATAACTCAATGAATCAAAAACAATTAGCAAGTCTCAGGGGAAACAAATAAAATAAAAATATGAACTAGACAATTTCAATAGAATTAACAAAGTGGTAAATATTAAAAAAATTTAGAAGTACAGAATCTATGAAAAAACTGGGAATAAATATTGAATTATTTTTAGATATAAATAAAACTAAATAATTGTAGAAATCATGGCCACACAGCACAATGTAAAGGCTGTAAGCTGTCAAAAGGCAAAATCATAAACATATTCAAGGAATTGAGAAGGAAAATTAGTGGGACAGTTTTGCTATCTTTCATAGCTCCCTCTCTCTTTATATATCGCTACATATTTTACATAATTCTAACTACATTTTTAATATTAAAAGTATCAAATAAATACAAATATTAACATATAATAATTTTATCAATTATATAATTATATTACTGTATAATATATTTATATATATTTACCAGTATTATTAATGTGTTAAATATTACACACTAAAACTTAACATTTTAATAGTATTAATATTTATATATCAATTATATGTAAATATAAAATTAGATATGAATATAAAATTATCAATATAAAAAATATATTTATATATAATTACTTTTTTATTTTTTACATAATTCTCACATTTTTAGCATAAAATTTGTTGATATACATAAACATATATGATATTAATATATGCTTGTAAAGAATATTTATATATTATGTATAAGAATTATAATATTCTATTATTCATGTTTAGAATATAAATATATATAATATATTAATATATGATAGAATATATGTAATTAATATAATATAATATTACTTATATTAATTGTTAATATTATATGTAATATTAATACACAGAAAATTTTATATAAATTAATTATATTAATTATGAATACTAGATGTAGTATTAATAATCAAAAATATTTTAAAATCAAAGCTTTATGACCAATACTTCATAAGGATATTTTTGTGATTTTTTTCAAACTTAGAGAAAGCTCATAAGATTTAATAACTCTTCGGATGATGAAGCAAATGGATGAAATCCAGCAACTCTTTCAATTATATACAGATTATTTTTCAATTAGCTTTATAAAATGTTTAATTTGAATTAAAATGCTTTTAATTAAGATGACATATGTTGCTTCTATTATTGACTGTGTCTATCTAACCGGTTTGTTCATCAGTTAGTTCAACATTTCATTTATTGATCTTTCAATGCATCCCTCTTTTTATCTTTACATAAGCATAAAATCATATCTGGGAAGATGTACAGTCAATATTCCTTTTTCAACTTTTTACTTTTTTATGTTTTTGGAAATTTTTGTAATGACCATGAATCATTTGGCTAGCAAGTGTTAAAGACATTTTATCTTAAAAAATTAAAAAGGAAAAGGTAGGCAAATAAAAAATACAATATTGGAATAGGAATATCAGCCAAATATGTAAATGCTTTTACCATATGTATTATTTAACGCAAGCAACTTATAGTCAATTTTATTGCTAAACACACGTTTTCATAAATATTGCATTGATTATTCACCCCCAGTTAGCTTGGGCGTTATGCCTATTCTACACACACTGACTAATGCTATGACAATATTTTATTATCAGTCTTTCAGAATCTAACAGTTTCATGTTTGGCTGGTCTAGCTATGAATCATGTACTTATTTTTTATAATTATGTTGAATGTTCTAATAGTTTTTCTTAAGTCTTGAAATATGTTTACTTATATTTTTACTGGTAAAGAAAGAACGAAAGAGAAAATTTAAGGTGGTTGCGTTGAGACCTGAGTGGATACTATTATTTTGCTTCAAGTCTATGCACTGACACACCATTGATAACCACCCTTATCAAAGCTAGCTCTAGGTGACATTTGGCTGGAACTTTTCCTTTAATTGTAGCTTCATTCCCCATCCCCCACTCCATACCTAGGTCAAGAACTGACCTATGGACATATGCTCCGACTTATATCCTGTTGTGCTTCATTCTTTGTGTAAATTCAGCTTCTCTTTGACTTTCAAATGGAAAGATAGATATTTTCCACTCTTGTCTGGTTCCAAGCCATTTTCTATGTGGTGCTAAGCTCTTCTTAAAACCACCACGCAGGCCCCCACAGTATATGATAGGTAAGTACAATAGCCTCTGTGATTCTCAGTTCACAGGACTTTCCTAGGCTGCATGGTCATATTTTATTCTTTATTTTATCAGTGCCTTATGGATTCTGACCATCTTCATTCAGCCCTAGCCTCTCACTATTTTGATTTGGTAACCTAGATAGAGTTTATTTGCACTGTTTTTATCCTGGCATAAATTCCTGAACAAACACACATGCACCCTTTTCAAGAAAAAGACTCTTAATTACTAGAAACATTCAGATCAGCTTCAGACAAGCGAAGACATTTAAATGGACATTTAAACAAAGGTCTCGATTTTAATCAGGACATTTTAATGTCCTTTAATCAAGGACATTTTAAGCAAGATCCTTTTTTTTTTTTTTTTTTTTTTTGAAGAATTGTAACGGAAGGTAAAACATAGCTTTACCAATACAATCCTGAACATAAAACACAATCAAAACAATGGTTACCAAGGGGTAGAGTTGGTCCAGTCAAAACAGAGGAGGCCAGTCAAGAGCAAAGTTTACAGCAACAGTTTTTTGGGATACTCAAGGCATTTTTCTTGATGACTTTCTGGACGGTCAAATAATG